GAGAGTGCGGGCGGGGGCCCCCCTGCCAGTGGCAAAGGGGGAGGAGGGAGTTGGGGTTGTGGTCAGTTCATCACGTGTTGTCTCTGCCACTCCTTCCTCCTCAGGGGAAGGACTCCTGATTCTCTTCCCCTGCTCCAGCATGTTGTCCCTCCCATGGGAGGCAGTTGTCCACAAACTTCTGCAATGTGAGTCCTTCCCATGGGCTGCAGTTCTTTACAAACTGCTCCAGCATCGGTCCCTCCCATGGTGTGCAGGGAGGAAGCCTTCAGGAACAGGCTACTCAGGCATGGGTCCCCCATGGGGCACAAGTCCTGCCAGGAGCCTGCTCCAGCATGGGCTTCCCACACGGTCACAGCCTCCTTCAGGCATCCATGTGCTCCTGTGTGAGGTCCTCCACAGGCTGCTCCACTGTGGGCCTCCATGGGCTTTAGGGGGAAACCTGCTTCACCATGGTCTTCATCACAGTCTTCAGGGGAATCTGCTCCAGCACCTAGAGCACCTCCTCCCCCTCCTCTTTTGCTGACCCTTGTACCTGCAGAGCTGTTCCTCTCACACATTCTCACTCCTCTCTTCTCTGGATGCACTTGGATCTGTGCCAGAAGTTCTTTCTTCTTCTTCAGTACCTTATCCCTGTGGCACTACCGTTACTGATGCACTTGACCTTGGATCTGGCTGGCACTGTCTCAGTTGGACATGGGGGAAACTTATGGTGTCTTCTCAAAGAAGCCACCCCCATAGCTACTAAAACCTTGCAAATCCAATACACCATCTTAGGATCATGTGCTGCAGCTGTTCTGTTAGGAACTGGCAGTCTGTATTGCGTGAATTCCTTCTATGGCTTGTTGGCATTATATTAATTTCAAGTATATTTTTATATATATACACACATATGTATATTTTATTGAACATTGATTTTTGTCAGCTGCTTCCCAACCGTAGAAAAATACAAGAAATATGCTCACTACTGTGGCCCAGTGGGCAGGGAGCTGCTCGGATTCCGTTTCAGTGGCAGCTTTTGGGGACGTGCAGTGTCTGCCATCTGGTGGGCAGGAGTCAAATCAGGAGATTTCAGTTCTTTGTGAGACAGCTCTTTCGGGTTTATTGATGAAGTCTTAATGAAATTAATCTCTGTTTAGGCGCCAATTTACAACTTTACTTTTCAGTGCGATAGTTTCATCATCAGTTACATTCTATTGAGATCTACTTTTGTGAAATTGGTACTCTAACGTTAAAGCCTACGGCATGTTCATGTGTTGCACTTTCAGAGGTGATACATGACATTTGGATTTTAAGCAGCTGTGTATGTAAGTTTCTGGGGGAAAAAAAAGCAGTCTTAAGATTTAATTGAGAAGAGCATCTTGGGCTCCATCTCTTGGGAATCACAGAATCACAGAATGGGTCAGGTTGGAAAGGACTGCAGTGGGTCACCTGGTCTAACCTCCCTGCTCAAGCAGGGCCATCCTAGATCACTTTGCACAGGATTGTGACCAGATGGTTCTTGAATATTTCCAGTGAGGAGAATCCACAGCTTCTCTGCGCAGCCTGTTCCAGTGCGTGGTCACTTGCACAGTAGAGAAGTTCTTCCTCCTTCAGGTGGAATATCCTGTGCATCAGTTTCTGCCTGTTGCCTTTTGTCCTATTGCTCAGCACCACTGAGGAGAGCGTTGTTACATCCTCTTGGCACACTCCCTTCAGATACTGAATAGACGTTGATGAGGATCTCTCTCAGTCACCTCTTCTTGAGTCTGAACAGGCACAACTCCCTCAGCCTTTCCTCGTAAGTGAGGTGCTCCAGACCCTCAGTCAACTTCGTTTCCTTCTGCTGGACCTGCTTCAGGAGCTCCATGTCACTTTTACTGAGGAGTGTAGAACTGGACATAATACTCCAGATGTGGCCTCTTCAGGGCTGAGTAGAAGGGCAGGATCATCTCCCTCGGCCTGCTGGCATTGCTCTCCCAGGATTTCATTGGTCTTCTTGGCCACAAGGGCACACTGTTGGCTCGTGGAAAGCTTGTTGTCCAACTGGACGCCCAGGACCTTCTCCACAGAAATGCTTTCCAGCAGGTCAGTGCCCAGCCTGTACTGGTGCATGGGGTTATTCTTTCTCAGGTGCAGGACCCTCTCTTTTCCCTTGTTGACTTTCAGATGGTTCTTCTCTGCTCATCACTCCAGCCTGTCGAGATCCCTCTGAAGGCCAGCGCAGACCTCTTAGGTATCGGCAGCTCCTCCCCGTTTTGTATCATCAGTGAACTTGCTGAAGAGAAGGCAACTCTGTCCCCTCGTCCAAGTCATGGATGAACAAGTTAAGCAAGGGCCCAGTTTAGAGCCCTGGGGGGCACCACTAGTGACAGGCCTCCAACTAGACCCTGTGCCACTGATTATGACCCTCTTGGATCTGCCATTCAGCTGGTTCTCAATCCACCTCACTGTCCACTCATCCAGTCCACAGTTCTTGAGTTTATCTATGAGGATGCTGTAAGAGAATATTTCTTAGAATGCCAAAGATCAGCAGAAAAGCGTCTTTTATACCTAGTTGGCAGGAGTGAAAACAACCAGGCACTTGTCACTTCTCGTGTTTCAAAGGTCACAAATCTCACAATTCATTTTTTCCTGCTTACTCAATGTTCAGTGCTTTTATCTAGAAGACCTTGAACTCATTAGACATGTAATTGGCTTTGTGGACTGCAAACAAGCTATGTGGATCCAGCATGGAAATAATGGATCTACAGTATATAATAAACTGTAAGGTGAATTAATGACTTCCTGGGAGATATGGGGATTTGAAATATTTGTGTCAAGGTAAAAGAGCCTATAGTAAAAGAGTTCAGTGTAGGTTTAGACAAAATGGGAGACTCTTGTGTCCTTGTTACACAGTAAGGAAGAGGTCATAGTGAGATCTTGAAATGATGAGGCTGCATGGAACACAGAACTTTATATCATTACGTGGTTTACATCTGCCCCTTGTCACCATTTTGTAAACCTACCAGAAGTCATTGTGCTTCTTGCATGATACCTGCCTGTGTTGCAAAGACTGTCAAGCTGGATAATTGGCCATGTTGCTCTCATCTGCTTTGAATCCAGAAAAATAGAGAAAGTCTAGGAAATTACACTAATGAAAAGCCAGCCGACATGTCTTTGGCCATAAATCCAAAATTAATGCTGATGAGGAATTTGTGCTGTTAATATCTGTATTATTATAGCTGGACAAAAAGCAGAGTACAGACAAGGTGGTCAGATAGAGCATAAATACTGCTCTGTTAGCTTCTTGGTATTCTTGGCATGAGCAACCCAGATCACTGGACTCCCTCTTTCTTTCTCAATCTGCCATGCTTGGCTGTTTCAGCTTGGAGTGAGTTATGAAGTCCTCCTTAAGATGTCGAAGAACAAAACATCAGTATGTAGGACTGTTATAGAAGCAAAACCTTCTGGGATATGTGGCCAGATGGGAAAGAGAAAAAGAATTCTGTACTCATCTCAGGGTAATGGATTGGGAAACAAGTTGAAGGAGAGGAGGCACAGCCAAGTGCTGGGCCTGAGAGCTGTCAGGGAGTTGTGTAGCAGTGTAGTCTTGAGGAGTTTATGGCCATGCATGAAGCATTTCTTGCCATGTCCAGTACAAATTCCACAAAAGAGAGTGAAAATGGGGGGAAGAAATAGATGATTGCATCTGTCTGCTGAGTACAGAAGGAAAAATTTCAAATGAAAGGGTATAAAATTAAGCCATTCATCAAAGTTTGGTTTGTTGTCCCCAAGTGATGAGTTCTTAAATATGTTTTCCCACAGGGTACACTGGCTGAACGCATTAGAGCAGGAGGAGCAGGAATCCCAGCATTTTACACCAGCACTGGCTATGGGACACTGGTGCAGGAAGGAGGTGCACCTATCAAGTACAACACAGATGGCACCATTGCCATTGCCAGCCAGCCAAGAGAGGTAAGATGTCTGTGTGTCACTAGGGAGCTGTCAGCTTTAAAAAATGAATTTCTGACATATTTGCGAGACAAACAGGAGTTTAAGCAGCTCTGGGCCGAGTTTAACTTTGCTATATTGAATTAACTGGGTATCTGTGGTACCAGACACGTTAGTTTTGCTGCCACTGCTTGATTCTGTCCTCTGTGATGTCTTAGAAAAATGTTTACAGCATTAGGGTGATTTAGCCTCAAGAACTGGTCCCATTCAGAGCCTTCCTCGCTGATTTACACTTCACTAGACAGTTCTCTGACCAGGTTTGCTGCGTGTTCAAACAAAATCTTATAGCAGGATACTGCAATGCACAGAACAGTTTGGAAACAACCTCTTGTTACTGGGGCAGATGCTCTGTAAATACTGTGCTAAGCAGCAAGCAGGCCTGCAGCTGTACACGGAGCTTTACCTTTAGAAGAAGAGGGCCATTTTCCTGTTAAACAGGGAAGAGCTCAGTTGACACAAATGTCAGGAAATGCATTTCCTAACATTTGAAATGCACTTTCGTCTGAGTATTTAAAACCGCAAAGAAATAAAAAGTGTGGTTTTCAAGTGAGAAACAAGGGCTTCATTTTGAGATTAGCTGTAGAATTGGAGAAGGGAAGAGATTTCTCAGTGCCATAACTACCTGAAGAAATGGAATTGTGCTGATGCTGTGCGTTGCAATTAGGCTGTATACAACATTAAATTCTACCTCAAGATTATGTTTCTGGGGTGAAGGTAGTTCCCCCCGACCCATGATTTTCATGTATTTTATACATGACTCTTGACAGTATCTAGTCATTGATTTAGCCTTTTTTAATCCCTTTTTTTTTTACTGCATATGTATTATGCTGTTTTATTATTTGAAGGAATATTTTGTTTATTGAATGGCCATAAATTTATTAACATTTTCCTTCATGCTTTTTTCCCTTACTTTTGGCATTTGTGGGAAAATCTCTCTTACTCTCCTCAATCTAATAACAGAGAGTGGGTCTAATAACATGGCCAGCATGATTTTCTCAATTCCATTCTCCAAATCCATTTTGCATGGAAGTGTCATTTTGTAAAGTTTCAGATCTTCTTTTATGGGACTAACAAACTGCATTCTGATACACTTTTGTCATACTTCCTTCCCCTTTCACAAATGTTAAAAAGCTGTCAGGTAGTATTTGTATATACTCTAACCTTCTACATTGTTAACAGAAATGCTGTTTCATGTCTCTCTGTACGATTAAAAGACTAGCTGTGTGTCAGCAACATATTTTGGCTTCAGGCACAGTATCATTCATTGCAAATATTGATCATAAATGCAGAGGAAACCAAATGAAATTCAGCCTGTCAGATGATGTGATTTGAGTACTTCATTTTAGATTTAGGTTTTCTGGTGGTGGGCAGTGATTTGGAACATTTTCAGCAATTCTGCTTTAGTACTTCAGGTTTTGATTAGGTAGATGTGCAGGAAAAAGCATGTCTAAGTCCAGTAGATGGAGCAGAAGGAATATGGATTCTCGTTATGTTTCACTAGAGATACTGCAATAAAACTGGGGCTGTAAGGCTTTCCATGCTTCTCTGTTATTATGCAGTTTTTCAGGGAAACTTCAGTTTCAGAGTCTCAGAGAAACTAGTGCAAAAAGAAGTTTAGTCATAATAGTCTGTAAAATTAACCCCAAAAATACGTATTACATGTGAAATCTGTTTGAAGCAACCTACATCTCAATTTTTTCCTTTTCTCTGTAGGTGCGAGAGTTTGACGGCCGTCACTTTATTCTGGAGAAGTCAATTACAGGAGATTTTGCTCTTGTGAAGGCATGGAAGGCTGATCGTGCAGGAAACATCATTTTCAGGTATGACTTGTTTACCAGGGGGAAAAGATTCTTTTATGGTTTAGATAATGAAAGAGAAGGCAAATCTTGTCTCCTGTGTGATGACAGAATAATATTTTGCTGATTTCTCATTATTTCTTAGTGCCTTTCACTACTGCCAAATTATACTGCTATAAAAAACCAAAGTATAATTGCTTTTTCTAATGACTTTGGAGAATTGAAACATAGCTGTGAAATAAAACATTGGTAGTTAAAAATGAGACATAGCAGACCAAAGTCATTGTGATGACTTTTGAGAAATTCAGTGACATTCTATTCCTTTCAATTTTCATGTTAGTTCAGGTCCTTTTCCTTGAGCAATTAAAGGCTGACCCAAGAAGTGCAGGTTCCTGTGTGCCAGAAGAGAAGGGAGCTGAGTCAGTCTCCTGGCCTGTCTCTGCTGGGAAAATTGATTCTGTCTAAAGAAAACTATGTTTAAAGGTGATTTGATCTCCGTGGTGTAGGGAGAGGCGTCATACGAATTTAAACATCTTTTGCAGTGAAAAGTTTGAGTATTGCACTAGTGATGACATCTTTTATATGAGTGGCTGTATGTGTGTTCTGGCCTGTCCTGAACTTAAGCAGGAGAGGTTTGCTTATGTTTAACAGCTGGTTTTTATTTGTTTGTCTTATGGCTATCAGATGGAAAGGTAAGTGTTGTAGTAATCACTTGCAGTTTACTACAAGCAGATGCTGAATGGCACAAGTCTGTCTTTGTATGTATTAAAACAAACAAGGAGTTGAAAAAGCAACTGGAAAATACATGTGTAAAATAATACCCATAAAGTAATGCTTTTCTTTGTGTATATATGCATATATCTGTATACGGTAACATCAATTTTACCTGTATATCTTAAAATAATATTAAATTTAAATGCTTGAAATTTAATAAGTAAGTTTTTGTTTTGCCTAACTCCTGACATCCTGGCTTGCTCGCTGGCAAGAAAATATGGTTTCTGATTGAAAGCTGAACTTTCTTATGTGTGTGCACATGAATTTGATGGCTGCTAAGATGCTTTCCTTAGGCTCTGGGATGTAGAATACAGGGAAGACTTATCCCCTTTTGTTTTGTCTTTGGTCCTGAGCCACTACTATTTCTTCTTTTTCCCTGTATCTATCTACTCATACACAGTTACCTCTGAAAAGGTTGTGTTCTCCCTTTTACCCCCCTTCCTTTATGTCTTGTTGGTCTCTCTTTCTGCCTTTCCTTCTTCCTGTTCCTTACAGAAGTCTTCATATGTCTCCCACATTCACACAATACAGCTGATACCAGATACGAGTTATATCTGGAGTGAAGGCCTAAAAATCTTGACTCCTCCTTTCAAGTGTAACTAATCAAAGATGGAATCATCATCATCCAGTGTTCTATTCCATATAGAATACTGCTAGCTTAGAAGAATTTGTTTATGATGAACAGTGACCCATTCTGTTTCTGGATGAGACACAGATTACCTGATGAACTAGAACAGAGAAACATAGGCTCATCTTTTAGGCCATGGGAGGCAACAGAGGAGGAAATTGTAATGCTTAGACAACATTTCTGTGATCTACATATGGAAAGGAAAATGTATTTTTGACATCATGCTGCATACTGCATGCTGCATTCACTGCCAGTGGGACCCTTCCATACTTTTTTGTTATGTGAACTCTGCTTGTGTTTGCTGAGTTATGCCTGAGTAAACATAGGCTCTATGTTTGCTCACATCTGCCACCACTTTCACAGTAGTGTGGTACTGTTTATGGTGTGTCTCCCGTGACTGTATTCTGGTTTAACCCCGGGCAGTAGCCAAGCCCCGCACAGCCGCTCCCTCACTCCCCCACCAGCAGGATGGGGAGGGAATAAGAAGGGGA